AAGCTTCACAATCTCATACTCTCATGCCTAGCACTCTATCACTTGAGCCATACTTCCAGTCTAGCTATTTGCTGGTTAGGAAATGGAGTCACATGGACTTCTTTGCCTAGGCTGACTTTAAGTAGTGATTTTGGCTGAGCCTCCTGAGTAACACCACCAACACCCAGCTGTCAGTAAAGGAAGATGTCTTCTGATGTCTTCTGACCCTGATTGTGACAGCCTGTCAACTACATTTTCTGCCAGTTGAACATGTGTCATCTCCTAAATCAGGTAGGGAAACAACTTGTTGGTTTCATTTTGAGGGTAGAGCCAGCACCTCACTTGCAGCTCAGAAGCAGCTAATAAAGACAGACCATTGACCCGCTAAACACCTTTTAAGATTAAAAAGTACCAAATTTTTAAGGGGAGAAATGAAGCAAGAGAGATAGCTAGACGAGAAGACACAAATATTATATTATTTTTAACAAAAATTTTAATACCAGATTCAGACATTAGAGCTAGGAGGAAAAATGTAAAATGCATTTAGTAAAGCTGGTTCAATATACACAAGTCAATAAATGTAATTCATCATATCAGTAGGAGCAAGGACAAGAACAACATAATTATCTCAATAGATGAAGAAAAGGCATTTGACAAGATCCAACACCTCTTTATGATAAAAGCTCTGGAGAAACTAGGAATCCATGAAGCATTCCTCAATATAATAAAGGCTGTGTATGACAAACCTATAGCTAGCATTATTCTTAATGGCAAAAAATCCTTAAAAAAAATCCTAAAATCAGGAACAAGACAAGGATGTCCACTCTCTCCAGTCCTCTTCAATATAGTATTAGAATTCCTAGCTAGAGCAATAAGACAAGATGCAAACATAAAGGGGATCCAAATAGGGAAAGATGTAGTAAAACTCTCTTTTTGCAAATGACACGATCCTGTATTTAAAGAACCCTATAGACTCCATTCCCTAGTTACTCGAGTTGATCCAATACTTTGGCAAAGTAGCAAGGTATAAAATTAATACACAAAAAAAATCCGTGGCTCTTCAGTATGCCAATAATGAGAAGTGCAAGGCTGAAATCAGGAAAGAAACTCCTTCTGTAACAGCTTCAAAAAAAAAAAAAAAAACTAGGAATTAACTTAACCAAAGAAGGACCTCTATGATGAAAACTTTACAAATTTAAAAAAGGAAATTAAAGCAGATCTAAGGAAATAGAAAAAAAACTCCCATGCTCCTGGATTGGGAGGATTAACAATGAAAATCGAAATACTGCCAAAGAGTATCTACAAATTCAATGCAATACTCATCAATATCCCAAAATTAGTGAACAAAAAACAAAAAGTAATTCAGCTTTATGGACAAAGTCAGTATTTCACTTTGTAAAATATACAAAAAATCAATTATCCTAACCAGCACACTTGAATACTGAACAAAGAAATTGTACAAAAATTCTACCAGTTAGCACTGAGCAATCACCATTTCCACCTACATTCGATGGACAGGAACTTTGAGCCACAGTTAAGTGACTTACATGCAGTCTATCACTCCATGTAAACAATATAACATGAGGTCGGTACTGCTCTTGTCCACATTTTTACATGTAAAAAATTTGATGTAAAAGACACTATGTTGAAACAAACTTTACAAGTTCAGGGTGGGGGGAGGGAGGAGCTGGGAAGGTGGGGAGGGAAGGGATGGTAGGGGAAAAACAAAGGAGGAGGTAACAATGTTCGATAGGAAATGTACTCATTACCTTACTCATGTAACTGTAACCCCTCTGTATAGTATGTTTACTTTAGATAGATAGATGATAGAGAGAGAGAGAGAGAGAGAGAGAGAGAGAGAATTTGATGAAGATCTCATAGCTAGTGGATGCCAAGGACCAACATGCAATCTCATGACTGATGGACTCCAAAGACCATGTATGTTTTTAGAATTCAGTTCCTCAAATCTCTGTAATAGCAATTTGTAACTTTCTTCATTTTGTGAGCTTTTTACTTCTATTTAACACTTTAATAATAGTACAGATGTTTTAATTTCAAAGAAAAAAAAGAACAAATAGGAAAAGAACTGGCTCCATAAGACCAAAGAAAATAGGGAAAGCAGAGATGTTGAGCCAACTGTTCATCCGAGGTACTATGGAGATCAGACTTCCCCCTTCTTCACAAAGGCAAAGCTCATCAGACAGCTCAGTGTTCTTTAATCATCCAAGTCAATCATATTCTTTAGTTTTGTCTCCTTCTAACAATCCGAAACACTAGAAAAGTTTGTTGTTAGTCTTACAAAACACACCAGGAGCTGGTGGCTCACACCTATAATCTTAGCTACTGAGGAGGCTGAGATCTGAGGATCACAGTTTAAAGCCAGCCTGGGCAAGTGAGACTCATGTCCAATTAAGCACCAGCCTTGAGCAAAAAAACTCAGGGACAGCACCCAGGCCCTGAGTTCAAGCCCCAAGACTGACAAAAAAAAAAAAAAAAATACAAATCAGAGTCATGTAACTATGCTGAAAAGGAGACCCCAAGTATTAGCAAAAATAAAACAATTTAAAATAAAACCATTTACAACTGTTTTATTTGATTATGTCTCTGGGGAAGTAATACTAAGAAGGTTGGAGGAATGGAAACAGATTGCTACATTTATGTAAGCATTTTAGAACGATTTGGCTTTTCAAACGAAGTCTATTATTTCATTGATTTGTTAAAAAAAAAAAAAAAAAGAGAGAGATGATGAAATGAAAGAAGCTACCCACCACTGACAAAAACCTGAGGAAAACTCCAAGGAAGAAGGAGAGTCATCATGGTGGGGAGCACAGGGGAAAACATAAGGGAAAACACCAGGAAATAGAGCAAGAGAGAAAAAGAGGAAGAGTCCAGGGGAAAAAATACCTTCAAGGACACAGTCCCAGGAACCTACCTTCTCCAACTAGGCCCAGCCTTCTCAAATTCCATCCTCCAAATATCCCATTTAGCCATGAATGCTTCAATAGATTGATAAAGGCAGAGCCTTCATTATCCAATCACCTCCTAGAGGTGACCTCTGACCACTGCTGCACTGCAAATCCTGCTTTCGTGGTCTTTTGGAAGCCATTTTAGGTCCAAACCATAGTATTTCTCCATTCACTCAGTGGATTCCAGTAAGCTAAAGTTTATGATTTGATGCAATTTATGGATGTAATGTGTGGACAAAGATGAAAAGCATCTAAAGTATGGAAAAAATAGATCAAGAGTCAGAAGATCTGGACTCCAGTTCTGACCTTGACTTTGAGTAATATGCTTAACTGCTCTGGGCCTTTCTATCCTTAACAGCAGATATCCCAGGCCCCATAGTAACAAGAGGACTGGATGATGTAGAGTCTGCCTGAGTGATGCTAGAGTAAAGACACAAGGATTGGGACTTACACAGTCTAGTTCATGTATGAGAGCCATGGAAAGGCTAAACCCTAGGCAAACAAGACACAAGTTCCTCACATGAGAACCAGACCCTGAGGACTTGGAATGTGGTAGAGTGGTAGTGGTACAGTGCTTGCCTAGAATACATGAAGCCCTGGGTTCAATTCCTCAGCATCAGAAAAAGCTGGAAGTGGCCCTGTGGCTCAAGTGGTAAAGTGCTAACAAAAGAGCAAAAGAAGCTCCGGTACAGTGCCCAGGCCCCAAAACTGGCCAGAGAGACAGAGACAGACAGACGGACAGACAGACAGACAGACAGAGACAGAGACAGAGAGACAGAGAGAACCAGACCCTGGTCCTAAGCCCAAATCTCTAGACTTGATCTGAAATCTCCTCCATCCTATCCCCAAGTTCTCTAAGACTATACACATGCTTAAAGATTCTGCAAATTGAAAGAGAAGCTAAGGTGCCAGGTCTCAATCTGTGGCCTTTTAAGCTGTGTGCTGGGTTATCAGTCTCTGTCTGTCTATATGAAACTTATCCAGATCAATCACTAAGCTCAACTGACCTCCCACACACATAAATGCTCTCTTAAACAAAATGTCTTTCTTCAATTTTGTCCAGTTAAATGACTCCAAATTACATCACCTTGGAATAAAATTTGGTAAGCCGTAGGCCCAAGACAGAAATCTCCAGGACAGGGGCTAGATCATCTCTATGGAAAGTTTTGTCACAGATTTGGTTACTACTGTCATTGTAGGCCAAGCAGGCCCAAATTCCCAGAAATCTGCACAGCTTGAAAAAATTTGTTCCAGAGCCTAGAGCTTCTGCCCACAGCTGTAGAGCCGGTTCTCAACTGCCTGGTTGTTAAGGCTTTCTCCCTGCCTCACAACCCAATCTCCCAGGAATGGAGCCTGCTCTCGTTTGGAGAAGTACAGGGATCTGGCAAGCCACCCATCTCTGAGATGCCACAAAGCCCTTTCCTCTCCTCTTTTTACCCCTGACTGAAGAGACCCGGGCCCCATCAGAGAGAGCTATTCTGACTAACAGGTCATGCAGTAAAGAAGTAGAAATATGCTGCAAGAAGCATCTCTGAAACAACACTCTAGGCCAGAGCTCAAAACCTCCACTAGTACATAGAGTTTAATATGAAATTTCTTCAAGGGTCCTAAGCAACACAGATTGCAAAGAGCACATGAGAGTGAACATATAGAGCTGTACATTCAATCCCCCCAAAATCAAATTTATTTTTTGACACTTCACATTTGTCGTTATTATGTAATTCATACAATGATTAAACTAATAAAATACATCTGGATCACAAAAAAGAAAACTGAAACCAGCTTTGAGTCTATGAGCACATGGTAAGGTAAGGGACCTGAGGGGGGTTGGGGGGAAGGGGGGCTAAGGGGAGACAGTAGAGGGCCAGTTAAGGGAAGTTAATCAGCCCATGATCGGATGCCATTTTCCTTGAGTCACATGAATCTCCTTTTATTCAAATATCCTGGAATTGGCGATGAACTTTTTTTTTCATTTTGGGGAATTCTTTTTTTGTCCAATGAATAACTTTCGATCTTTTTTAAAGTATTGTGTAATTTTAAAATACTTTTTCAAAGTCAGGCTGACACTGCCAACTCTCTCTCCTTAGGTTTTTCCATCTCACTCATGGAGAGCTGGCTGTTCCTTGGAGATCCTGTTACGGAAGACGGTCTATATATCTTGTGCCCCGCAGCATCCACTTCCTCAAAGACATAGCCAGGGGGGTTAGGGTAGGAAGCCAGGCACCTGCCCATTTCCTTGGGAGTAAAGTTGATAGAGTAGGTGGTCTGGCCCTCCACAGGGATATTTACTTGAGGTCCAGACGAGGCGGGCTTAAAGCTTTTGGTATTCGTAGGTGGGTGAGGTACATAGTGGGCCCGTGTGGTGGTCAGGCAGTCCAAAGGTTCAGCAGGAAGGGCCAGATGGTGAGTGGGCCTGATTGACTCTGCCCGAACATTGGTCCACTGCTTGTAGTCATCCTTAGTGGTGGTGGAGCCCTCGAAGCGGCAGCTCTTCTTAATCGGGGCTGCTGGTCGGCAGGGCTGGGCAGGGGCACCCTTAGGGTATGTGTAATGGGCTTGCACAGTTGTCAGAAAATCCATCTTCTCTTCAGGAGGGACATAGTTGGCGGGAGATCTGGAGAATACTTGAGGCGTTGGCCAAGCTTGGTACTTGTCTTGGAATTCAGTGGTGTTAGCAAAAGGTGTGTCTGGTCCAGCGGTCCTGCCTGGTGGTTTCAGGCTCTTGGCAGGCTTCCCTACCAGGCCCCGGAAATACTCTTTGTGGGTAGTGAGGCTCTCAAAGGGGATGTCGCAGGGTTTAAACCTTTTAGGCTCATAAACAAAGCGCTTCTCCATAGGGTGGGGCACATAGTTCATCTTGTAGTTAGTCAGATCCTCCAATGGGATGTTACAGAGATTTGGTATAGGGGGAGGTTTACAGCTCTTGGTACTCACAAAGCCCTTGGTGGGGTAGTCATCTTGGTGAGTGGTTCTATTATCAAACTTGGTGGACGCTGGCCGGTAGCTGTGTGGTGGACGAAGTAGCTCTCGTTTTGGTTGGTTCCAAGATAAATAATCAGCTGAAATTAAAGCAGAAGAGATCATGATAATAATGATAATCCAAGTATTTACAAAGGGAGAACTCCAATAGTGTAATTCCTTAGAAAGACAAAGTGCAAAGCCCAACGAAATAAGCACTTAGAAACCAGTACTTGCAAGGGATGGAGCAGGCTAAGAAGAGGGGGAGATGAATAGAGAGAAGGAGAGAGAATGCAAGCCAAGAATTCAATGTATATACTGCAAAAGTAAGAAAAGTAAGGGAAGCCAAGACTGGTGGCTCACACCTAGCTACTCAAAATGCTGAGATCTGAAGATTGTGGTTTCAAGCCAGCTGACAGCAGGAAAGTCTGTGAGACTCTTATCTTCAATTAATCACATAAAAAGCCAGAAGTGACACTGTGACTCAAGTGGTAGAGTGCTAGTCTTGAGCAAAAGGAGCTCAGAAAGAGTGCTCAGGCCCAAAGTTTAAACCCCAGGGCTGACAAAAAAAGAAAAGTAAGGGAAGAGGTGAGTTGGGAAGGATTGGTGAAAATGTTGAAAGGGGCTAACATTGATCATGTGATAATGTGGTACACTGTATTCACAAACTGCTTTGTTAAATAGAAAAAATAAAATAAAATAATGGGGAAAATAAAACAGTGGGAAATATATATACAGAATGACTTTCAAAAAGAGAACTACGAAGTTAAAAAAAGAAAATGTGTGTATATGAGAGAGATAGAAAGGAGGAAAATGGAATTTTATTTATCCATTAAGAACAATACTATGTCATTTACAGAAACATAGTCCTGGAAAAATTATATTGAGTGGAGTAAAATAAACTCAGAGAGACAAAGGGTGCATATTTTTCTCATATGTGGAAGTTAGATCTAAAATATATACTTATATGAAAACACATACAGAGCCATATGCATATGTAAATGATCGAACTGACTAAACTATGTATATGCAGGGGTGGATTTCTATTCCATAATCCCTGTGAACAATTAACTTATAGTTTAACAAAACAGTGTCAGGAAGCTGCAAGGTGTGGGAGTGGGGGGTGGTTCCAGGTAGGGATGAATAAATGGAGAGAGAAATGAATGGTACTCAATGTACTATGTGAAAATGGAGCTAGGAAATGAGATGATGAGCAGGATTGGGATAAATGGAGGTGGGGGAGGAGAATGATGGGATGAGTGACATTTTTCAAGATGTTTAAAACTCATGAGTTGACATGTTGAATTGAAATCCCTTTGTATGACTATTTAAAGAAAATAAATAAATTTAAAAATATACAAAATATACAAAAGTATTATTCAGTCTCCATCTTTGTATATTTTCTATATTTCTTGCTGTTGGTTTCCTTCCATTATGATCTGTAAGATGAAAAATCTATTTCATTGTTTTGTATTTGTTAAGACTTGCTTTATGACTCAAAATGATCTATTTTTGAGAGTTACATAAGCTTCTGAAAAGAATATATATTCTGCAGCTGTTGGAATACTCTGTAGATTTCTGTTAAATCCATTTGATCTGTGGGATAGTTTAACTCTGAAGTTTCTTTATCTCTGTTTGGCCTGTATAACCTATCTTTTGGTGAAAGTGGGGTATTGAAACCACCAAATGTTATTTTATTGGGACTTACCTATTCCTTTATATCGTATTTTTATTTTTAGATATTATATCTAGGTCTATGATCCTTTTAAATGCTTTATTTTAAATACTTTTACTTTACTTCTGCAGTACTAGACATCAAACCCCAAGTTCCTTGCATGCTGGGTAAGCACTGTACCAGAGCCACAGCCATAGCCCTTCACCATTTATTTTCTTCATATGGTGTAAAGGTTGAACCTCATTTTGCAAACAGATATCCAATTGTCCCAGAACCAAGTCTCAACAAGATAACTTCTCACACACTGAAATGCCTAGGAACTTTTTAAACAATTAGTTGGCAATAAATAAACCTGAAGTTTAATCCCTGTAGTCACAATTTACTGGATTATTGTTGCACCATTTTGGTATCAGCACCACACTGTCTTAAAACTATACTACTATACTATAAAATGATTTATAGTATAAATAATATGAACCACTTAATAATATGGATTTTTCCTTAATGGCAATATTTTATATATCAATAAATGATTCATAAATTGTTTGCTTTAAAAGATATGAATAGGGCTGGGAAGGTGGCTCAGTGGTAGAGCGCTTGCCTTGCATGCATGAGGCCCTGGGTTCGATTCCTCAGAACCACATGAGCAAAAAGAAAAAAGCCAGAAGTGGCGCTGTGGCTCAAGTGGTAGAGCACTAGCCTTGAGCTGAAGAGCTGAGGGACAGTGCCCAGACCCAGAGTTCAGGCCCCACGACCGGACCCAAAAAAAAAAAAAAAAAAAAGATATGAATATAATGAAGGAGCATTTTCTTCCCACAATAATTAATATCAGGTTATATTTATTATATTTCTAGCCATTTGGGCTCATCCTTCTCTTTGGAGTTTGACTATACACTAATAAGTCATTACCTTATTTTTAGATGGATAGCTATAAATTTTATAGTGAATAGTTATAAATGCCCAACTCCTCAAAGCTCTTGATAATAGTGTTTAGTCTATAATTATAAAACATAGGGTTTAGAGGTGGGAAGGTGGCTCAGTGGTAGAGCGCTTGCCTTGCATGCATGAGGCCCTGGGTTCAATTCCTCAGCACCACATAAGCAAAAAGAAAAAAGCCGGAAGTGGCGCTGTGGCTCAAGTGATAGAGCGCTAGCCTTGAGCTGAAGAGCTGAAGGACAGTGCCCAGGCCCAGAGTTCAGGCCCCATGACCGGACCCAAAAAAAAAACAGAGGGTTTAGAAGAGTGTTCATATAGGGGCTGGGAAGGTGGCTCAGTGGTAGAGTGCTTGCCTTGCATGCATGAGGCCCTGGGTTCGATTCCCCAGCACCACATAAGCAAAAAAAAAAAAAGAAAAGAAAAAAAGCTGGAGTGGCACTGTGGCTCAAGTGGTAGAGCACTAGCCTTGAGCTGAAGAGCTGAGGGACAGCGCCCAGGCCCTGAGTTCAGGCCCCATGACCAGACCCAAAAACAAAAACAAAAACAAAAAAAAGAAGAGTTTTCATATAGTATGATTTTGAGACTGAGTCCAAAATATAATTATCAGTGGGATGAATTCTACTTCAAAAAATATAGCAGATAAGTAGTAATACAAGTGGATCAATGGGAAATCTATAAAGCCTTATGGCTACTACAGGTTCAGAAATTATAGAAATCAGGGCAAGAGAAGGGAAGATAGAGCATGTCAGGACAGTAGAGGGCATTTATTTATGGTAATTCTTTATTATCTGCATTTTTTTTTTTTTTTTTTGCTGGTCCTGGAGCTTGACCTCAGAGCTTGAGTGCTGTCCTTGATCTTCCTTTGCTCAGACTAGTGCTCTACTACTTGAACCACAGCACCACTTCCAGCTTTTTCTTAGTAGTTTATTGGAGCTAAGAGTCTCATGGACTTTTAGCATAACTTTTATAGTACAGTTTTAACATCAGAAAGTACTCTTCCAGTTTGCTTTTATGTTTCTAAGAATATTTATTCTGGTTTATTTGAATTTCATGCATAAAATTTGATATTGCTTTAAATTTTTTCTTTTTTTATTAGAAAATACTCCTGATCTTTTTATAAGAATTTCATATATAGAATGCAATGATTTCTAGGCACTATAATTCTAGCTACTCAAGAGCTTGAGATCTGAGGATCACAGTTTGAAGCCAGCCCATGCAGGAAAGACTATGAGACTCATCTTCAATTAAGCATCAAAAAGCCAGAAGTAAAGCTATGCCTCAAGTGGTAGAGAGACAGCCCTGAACTAAAAAAGCTCTGAGTTCAAGCCCCAGTATTGGTACATGTACAACAAAAAAAAAAGACTACAATGATCTATAGATCATTTCAGTAATTCTTCCTTAAGCATTGAAACTTCTAATCCATAAACAGAAACTAAATTTATGTAGATTTTACTTAGGTGCTTTCTATGCATTAAATTTTTTTGCATTAAGTTTTGCATTAATTCTAAAGTTTCCATTTAGTTTTTATGATATTGCTTTATTAATATTCTCTGTTTACTGAGCAGTTATTGAGATATTTTCCTTCAATGCTTTAAATATGATTTACTGCTACTTTTTAATATCTTTGTAATTGCAACTTGTCTGATAGGTCCAACATCTGGATGTTCTGAGAGACACAGTATGTAGCACATACACATGTACCACACTTTCCTCTTTTCTATTTATGCTGCATATTTTTTAAAGACAGATATGTTAGATAATATGCTCAACAACTCTGAATTCTAACTCTTCTATTGGGAGTTCTTATTTTTGCTGTTTAGTGAAATACATGAACTAATTCTATAATCTTATTACTGATATTGTGTGTATGTGCACACATATATACCAATCCTTGAACTTGAGGCCTGGGTACTGTCCCTTAGCTTTTTGCTCGTGACTAGCACTCTATCACTTGAGCCACAGCTCCAAATCCAGCTTTTTTAGGGGTTAGAGTTAAGTGTTTCAAGAACTTTTCTGCCCTGGATGGCTTCAGACCACAATCCCAGACCTCAGCCTCCTGAGTAGTCATGAGCCACTGGTGCCTAGCTTAAGACACTAATAGTTTTGCTCATTTTTCTCTTCCTAATTAGGCTTCCAAGTTAGGCTTCCCCCTGTGTAAATGTAGCCTAGTGGTCATTTGAATTGCTAATGAATTTGTATGTAAGGTAGGAACATAGTCAAAGACCAAAAGGTCTTTGCTGAAATTTCATGCCTCCTCTACATAGGTACTAGGTCTCCCATTTTTACCAGGGAGGTGACATAGATAGGATCATCTGATCTCTTGAGCTCATGCGCAGCATTGCCCAGGTGCACAGCCTTTACAGAACCATCAAGAGATGTATGAATTTATCAAGGCCTACTCTCTCTATCTCATTCTCTATCTCCCTGCTAAAGGTCTAACATCTCTAATGACCTATGTCTTGCCTCAATTAGTATTGCAAACATCAAACT